CACTCACCCACATTCTGCCTTAAGACTCCAGTCCACTTCTCTCCTCTATTTACCTCTTGGGCTTTAGAAGCAAAGAGGAACCATGCAGGGAAAGGAACAGGGACAAGGTCAAGAGTAGGGAAGAGAGTCAGAGCATTCTGCACCCCCATCTAAGGGAAGGTGCAGCATCAGATGTAAGAGGAGAGGAGCGGAAGTGACTACTCAGTACTGTTGCTAAGCTGTAGAGGTAGAGCAGTGCTCCCAACAGACAAGGATCCCTGTCCTTCTCTTCTACTGGAGGGAGAGAGGAAATATGAAAAGTGTATGAGTTACTATATGTGAGAGCACTCAGCACGGGGCTCGGCACGTAGGAAATACTCAACCACAGTTATGTCCTTCTCTTATCCCTGTCCTTAATCACATCTTTGCAGCTTCCCCGAAGGCTTCTGAACACATAAATAAAGCTGCAACCCCATCTGGCTGAAAAAGTCAACCATCTGGAGATTTGGAAATATGGGGGAACTTCTAATGACTGTCTAATTTTTTTTTTTCAGGTTTTCAGCCAGATGTTTGATGTCGTCCAGGCCCATCTGTAGAAGAAATAGCAGCTTATGGAAACTCTTTTCCATAATTTTAAGTTCCTTGTCCTAAAAGCTAAGTGGGCTTTATTTTCTTAGTCACCATTTTTAAAAAATGAACTGAAAAAGTGATCATTGACTAATGGACAACAATTCAGGAATAAAGTAGGGAAATAACAGAAATTTGGATTAAAAGGGCCTTTAAACTGGCAGCCCATGGGTTAAATTCAATGACGAGAAAAGTTTGGGCTGGCAGACAGTGCAATTTAAAAAAGTTAATTTAGTTGGCCACATTTTAAAACTTAAGAGATTTTACACGTGGCTTTTAAATATTTGGAATATTGGGATGAATTTGGCACTCATTTCCCCAGGGTAAAAATCAACTCAAGATATATAGTAATTGTCCCTTGGATCGGGGCTTGTGTTCTCCGGTTTGCCTCAGTCCCCACCATTCTCTGTTGCCCCCCACACAGAGACCATGTTTCAGTTACCATATATCTTCTCAAGTGCAGTGACTTTCCCCCCATAGAACCTAGTTAAGAGGAGAGTGAGATGCTTGTTTCAACTGTTACGTTACCTGCCTCGTCCACCTGGACACTGGGATTTGTTCACTCCCTAACCTTATCTGAAACTTTCATTTCAGAACTGGATAAACTGAGGCCCAAAGGAGGAAAAGAACATGCACAATTCCTGTAACCGGTAGTGACAGAAAGGCGACGAGAGCTCAGGGTCCCTTGCTACCAGGCCAGTGGGGTCTTTGCACTCTGTAAATACATCACTTTGCTTGAGTCTAGGGCTCCAAGGGGTCTTATCCATGGGGGAAATCGTACACCAAACAATGTTCTCATTCAAATCCACATGCTGTCATTGAAAACACGCAGCAAGTTGGGGCTCTACTTTGTGAATGCCTCGCGTGCTTTCCAGATACAGATAATGAGTCAGGCTTTCTGAATGTGGGTGTCTCTACATAGGTCGATTGTTTCTTCATTCAAAATGTGTCCTTTGCCATCTCCAAGTCTGTGCCTGTCTGATGTCTCCTGCACCCCTGCAGATGAGGCACAGGCATGCTGAGTGTTCTGGGACCTGAGGCTTCTGAATGGAAAAACCCTGTGCCTGGGCATTCTCACAAGCTAATGTTTGTACCAGTAGCAACCTATCCACTGGAGCGTGAATTAATGTGCTCTAGCAAATGCTCTGAGAAGCAACATGGTTTATGTGAAGGAGTGCCTGCTGGGTTTGGGTATGTGACCTCAGGCAGGAATGGTATTCTCTCCAGGCCTCAGTTTCCTCACCTATAAAACCAGGACAATAATAATAATACCTCCATCAATGAGCTCCTCTGAAGAGGAAAAAGTTAATTTTTCAAAATTGTCAGAACAGAGCTAGCACAGAGTAAGTACTAAATATAAATGACATTCTGGTGAGTTATAGAAATGAAAACTGGAAACATCCCTTCTCTCCTTTGAGCGATGTGATCCTTCTTAGCACATGCAATGTTGCCAGGCCCATTGTAAATACTCAATACGTGTTGGCTTTAACATCAGAATTGCTTGGATGAGTTTCAGAAAATTCAGGTTCACCACAGACCTATGGAAGCAGAGAATCTAGTTGTGAGGCCTAATAATCTTTTTTTTTTTTTAATGCTCCCTATGTGATTCTGATGACTACCCAAGTTTGGAAACACTGATGTAGTTTCCTTATTCTTGAATATCGTTGGTGGTAGAGAACCCATACCTCTTAAAGCTCTCTACTCCACATTGCATGGTTATTCATATTGAGGTAAAACCTATTTTCTTCTAGATCTTACTTCTACCCCCTGGAGGCCACACAGAACATTTCAAATCTCTTTCCCACATGACAACTCTTCAGATATTTGCAGACAGCTGTCATGTCCCTCCTGAGCATTCTCTTTTGGACAAAAGAGCCACATTCTCTCATGGCTCTTAAAAAAGTGTGGATGAACTGATTCTTCTAATTTGATATCAGGGAACACTGAGCTGCAAGACCTCCAGTTACTCTTTGACACTAAAGGACCAGAAGAGTGAGGATGTTGAGACTCTAGGAGATACTGAATGAGAGACGGGGATACACCTTTACTCCAGAGGATGGATTCTGCTTACTGCATGCAAGAAATCAGAGGTTCCTGAAATTCCTTGCACACTTGATATATTCAGTACCTGAAGAAAAACCTTGGCTCAGATGCCAGCCAAGGCCCAGCTAAGTGTTGGTTCCATGGGTGTACACATAGCTAAAAATTCGCTGTGACTCATTAAAGTTACTGTATTTAATACTTCAAAAAATGTAAAAAAAAATATGGCTGAGCCAAACTGCATGAAGACTGCAACAAATTTTCTCAAAAGAATTCACCTGACCAAGAGCATATCTTGGATGCATCCAGTTCCATCTTGATTCAAATTCTCACTTCTCCCACTAAGCCCACAGAATGCCTGGGTGGGGTTCCAATTCTTTGTACAAACTGTGGGTGTAGGACATGATGTTGGAGAAAAGAGAAACCATCAGTTGAAAGATTCTGAGAAAGGATTTAGGGATTTTAGGCCCTAATAGGGGAAGCCAAAATTAGTGTTTAATTGTACATTCCCAGGTTTTGTTCCAAGAGTCAGAAGAACCGGGGATAACTGAAACATGGTTTACATATATACCTTGTTTGGCTCAGATTTTTTATGTCATTCTTAGAACCATGTAGGTATCAAGACATCCACCAAATCACAGCTTTACAAAAGGTAATTCAAATCTTTGTTGTCAATAGAGGAAAGAGAATTATGGAATTTCCCCAAGGTAAATGACTTCACCACATCTGATCACCAGTGATCACAAATATTAGATTTCTGTCAATGTTTGGGAAAGAATTGTTCTAAAATTTCCATTGGTACACTGGATACACTAAGAGCTTTGGATAGTGCTAATTCGTGATGACCTATTCCAAAGTAATCTTTTCCCAGATTGATAAGCGTGGGTTGGAGGAGGTAAATGTCTTAGCCAAGGTCACACAGATAGTTTGCAACACTACTCAGGTCTTCTGACTTCAAGCACAGTGATCCTTGTTGCATTTAAAGTAGTCTTTTCCTACCTGGGATTTCCACCAGTTGCAGATTTGTGTTGGAAACAGAATCGATTATAGTAGTGCTAGTCAGGAGAGCAGTTGTTCAGACTGTCAGGACATGGGAAGAAGGCCAGGGAATGATGCAATATTACACTAGCAAGTGATGTCATAGCATGATTTCCTAAGTGATTTACATAAATGCAAGTTCTCAAAAAGCCCTGACAAATGCCAGCCAGTGGGAATGCAGGCATGGAGAACCAATGACAAACAGGGAAGGGCAACATACAGGAAACCCAGATTTCCTTGCTCATCACTGTGACAAGCTTCACAGATTGCTCAGAAGCCTGAGAAAACTCCCTTCTGCCCCTCTAATCCAGTGCCTTCCCTCAGGCACATAAGCTCGAAAGAGCGTTGATTTTCTTCTCTATCTTTTTATTTACTACCACTGACATTCAGGCATTGCCCAGCGCTGCTGAGAGTGACTTCTGGTGTAGTGAAAGCAAGTTGAATAGTGAGACAGGCTACCCAAGAGCTTGGCATTCTAAAAATTGGTCTGTCCTCTTCATTATAATTTAGAGCAAATTCTCAATTTTTAAAATTAGAAACTGTGATTTTTGGAGAATCGATCTTATGCAAATGTCATGAAAATATATTTGTTGAGTTTGGAGATGATTTAAGTAAGAAGACAGGTGGATATCAAATACTAACACTCCAGTTTTGTTTTGATCCCAAACAGTAAATGAAACATGTATTAATAAGGAAGTTTTGCTAAAACGTGTGTGTGTGTGTGTGTGTGTGTGTGTGTGTGTGTGTGTAGGGGTTCACATATGTTAGTCTGGTTGGCAATGCAAGTTCATGAAAATATCTACTTAGACAGAACTCAGAAGAAACTGTTAAGACTATGTTAGAAATAAGGAAACAGCTCAGAGTGTGCCAGCCTAGCTCACAGTCTCTCTCTCCATCTCTCCCTCCCTCTCTCTCTCTTCCTTCCTCTCTCTTCCTCGCTCCCTCTCCCCCCATCCCCCACTGAAATGCAATTTAAGCAGAGCCAAAGACCCCATCACAAGCCACAGATCAAAGCAGTTCACAATATGCTTAGGAATTTTGGATCTGGAGACTTTGCTCAACTGCAGAAGCTGCTTAAGAGTACCACAAAATTTCATCTCCTGAAGCTTAAACCAAAAACAATCAACAAGACCCAACCTCTTCATCCCCCACAGCATTAGTCTCGCCGGAACAATCTGGACATCTGCACATTCTCAGCAATAATGCAAACTATTCCTCTCTCCCCATCACTGCCTCCATCTCCCCAAACACCCACTGGAATATCAGAATATCAGAAACTGCATTATTTAGGGCCATTGAGAGGAATTTGTAAATACCTTCCAGGCAGCAGGTCCTCCACAGCCCCGAATGGGTCATTACTTCTTCATTCTTCCTGCTGGTTTCATTATCACTTGTAGATTTAGTCCTGCACACACCTCTGGAATATAACCAGTAGTCCGTGCCCACTGCAATGGTCATTAAACTAAAAGCTGCGAAGGCTCCCACAGTGGTGATCAACATCTGGATACCTCTGTCACACATCCTCATAATTCTTCATGGTACTCTGGATGGCTGGGGGTTGGAGCGGTAGGTTCAATGCCAGAGGGGAAAATCACTCTGCAGCTGGGTAACCTAGGGCAGGCTCTTCCAAAAATTCAGGTCTCCTTTTGTCAGCATCCACAGAGACTTTGGGAAAGCTGGGATTTCCTGTCTGGAGCTCTCTCCGGTTCCCTGGGTCGCCTATGGCCCTTGGAAGGGTGCAGGTTCCAGGGGGTTGGTCCACATCACTGCTGCCTTCTGAGGATCCCTGGGTTCCTTTCATTCCTCAGGAGCTTGGTAAAGATGAGGGTCCGTGCAGGGCATGGCTCCGGAGCCTGGAGCTGCCAGCTTGGTTTGAGATGCGCCTGGCTCCTCACAGCCCCGGGAGACTCTAGGCAAAGAAATCCAGAGAGGTTTATGTGTGTGTGTGTGCGTGCGTGCGTGTGTGTGCGAGCGCGTGTGCTGGGGGTGAGGGCGGATGGCAAAAAATAGCACTGCTGGGAGGCGAGTCGCTGAGAAGAGTGTTCATTGCTTCCCCAGCCTCCCAGGAAAGCTCTCCGCCTGCTCCTGACACCCCCGCTCAAACTGGAGAAAAGACAGAGTCCTGGGGCGGAGGCCGGGCGGTTTCATCTGAGGGCAAAGGTCCGCGGGGCTGAAGGGACAGCTCCCGCCTGTTGCCCCGCCTCCGCCTCCCTAACGCCCAGGCTTTAGGTCCATGGTGCTGAAGGGACGGCTCCCCCGCCGCAGCTGCCGTGGCACCCCCGCCTTTCCAGCGCCCCGGGCTAGAGACCCGGGGTGCAGAAGGGTCGGACCTCCCTCCCGCCGCCCTTCCCCCGTCCCTTCCCAGGCCAGCTAGCCGGCTCGGCTCTGCCTAGTCAATCCCACGCTCGGCGCAAAGTTTCCGGAGCCCACGGCAGTCAGCGCCCCGGCTCGTCGGTGCTGCAGCACCGCCCTGTTCCTCCGCTCCCGCAAGGGTTAAGGAAAGGGGAAGGGGAAAGAAGCCCGCAGCGCACTCTGGCGCGCTCTCAGCTCCCACCCAGCGCGGCGTTTTCCCCTCACCAATGAGCCGGGCAAGTTTGCCTTTTGCTGCGGGCGCCGCTGGAGCCCACTGGGGGGAAGACCGGAGTCTTCTTAAAGGGACCGGCGACTCCGGGCGACGGAGCTGTGTCTCCCTTGGGCGGGTAAAAAGTATTGTCACAGGCACATCTGTGTGTAGTCTGTCTCAATTTGATTCCCCAGAAAACAAACCAATATGTCTACCCTCCTTTCTCTGGAGCTCCGGTTTACACCAGAGACAACGTGCTCTGATCAGACCCGGAACTGTTCATATACATATGATCATGTATTCCTAAAAGACAGAGGGGCTGAAATGTGTATGGACTCTGGTGTACACATATCACAGGTTTGGGGCGACGGGGTGTGAAATACTGGTCTCTGAATACACCTCATATATTTTAATATTCTTACACTTTTTGTGTGTGTTGGGGGTGGGGATGGATTCAAGGTGGGAGAGTCAATGAAAATGTCAGATTCTTTCCAAAGGTCCCTAGAATGTTCATTTGTTAGCATCTTTTTCTAAGTTAGACCATGAAGCAGGTGAAACCAGGTCTGCTTTCCTTGTTAGTCCAAAGTGCAAATGCCATTGCACACTTGAAAGCTAATGCGACTCTCCCTTTGGAAATAGTCAGTGTTGCAAAGAATCAGCACTCGGCAGTCTTTCTATTACTATGTACTCTGGCATATACATGAACGCACACTGAGCTAAGGACAGTCCACAGAATGCCTTTATTATTATTTTCCTATGGCATGATGGGAGGGATACCCAGAGGCCAGTTTTTGGAATTGAGGCTGCTTGGGTTGCTTCTGAGATGTGTCCGATGCCAGCTGTCATGTTCGAGTGTTATTTAACTGGACAAAAAAAAAAAAAAAAAAAAAAGGGAGGTCATCACAGACACATAGAGTCTCCCGGTGCCATCTCTGGCTATCTGTCGGGGAGCTTCTATGCAGATGACTGAGTAGTAGCAATATATCGAAGAGTTCTCAAATGTAGATCACAACTTCTAGGTGACTTTGCTACTTTTTCTTCTTTGGTGTTGAGGTCACTTGAAGACTTGATTCTTGGTGGCAGATAAACATATCCATGCATACATAGGTTTGAATATCCAGTTGCAGTGTTTAAATGTTAACCTGTGCTGTGTTCAATGCTGTTATGAGTTCTGAATGCCTGTGAATTTGTTGCAGAAGAAAAGGATGTATGCAAATATATATATATATATATATATATATATATATATCTGTATGCAGTGTTGTGGGCCATTTGAATAGTTTTGCTGCAAATGCATAGCTGTGTGTGGGAGGGTAGGCATGCTCGTGTATAGATATAGTGCATGTTTGTGCACCTGTATTCGTTTAATTGCATATGCATATATCATGGGTCATGAGCACTGCTTTATGGGCAGGAAGTAGAAATATGAAAACCCTGCCACATAACCAAAGTGGAACAGATAAACTCAGGCCTGGCTCACCTTACCCCCCAAAGAACAAGAGGAAACAATGGGGAAAGGTATCCAAGACCTATAAGTTACTTAATTTTTTTCTTAAAAAAGAAAAACTTGCTTCCTATTAAAATGTTCTGCTTTGGCTTTTTTTTTTTTTTTTTGTAAAAAACTATCTGTATCTTGGAGGTGAACTTGATCTTTCCTGGGAGGTGCTATTAAATTTGTGAAATTTTCTGACCCTCCTCCTAGAAATTTAAATAATATAAAATACTTTAAAAATGGCCAAACAGAGGTGCCTGGGTGGCTCAGTGGGTTAAAGCCTCTGCCTTTGGTTTGGGTCATGATCCTGGGGTCCTGGGATCGAGCCCCACATTGGGCTTTCTACTCGGTGGGGAGCCTGCTTCCCCCCCCCCACCCCCTGCTTCCCTCTCTGTACTTGTGATCTCTGTCTGTCATACAAATAAATAAAATATTTTTTTAAAAAATGGCCAAACAGCCATTCCAGGATCTGTTTCTTTCTTCCCTTACTCTAGTAAGGAAGAGAAAGGTCTTTTTTCGAAGAAGGACCATGTAGATGGAAGGTTAGTGGGCTCTGGGCTTAGGGAGAGTATGCTCCAGCCACTCCTTTCACCAGCCCTGCAGTAAAATGAGAGCAGCTTCAGCTCCACTCCACAGCTCTGTGGTATAAAGCCAGACAGACAAGGTGTTGTACTTGGGAGATTCAGCAGAAGGAACTGGGTAACCAAGTAGGATAGTGTGGGGTAGGGAGAGAAGGGTCAGGAGCTCAGGCAGATGGACGTGATTATTGTAGGTCAGGATGTAGACAGTTTTTCTGGAGGAGAGAAAGAGACATCTGTTATAAGACAGAACTTTACACTGAGCCTTTGGCTTGGAAAGGCAGGATTACCCTTTGCAACTCCTGCTCAGGGCCAAAACTGATCACAGAATGTAGGAAGTCCTGAGCCTGCATTTGGAACAAGTCAGAACACCTGTCTGGAGTGGGAGTGTGGAGGTAGGGAGGCCATTAGTTAGTTCCCCATGATGACTCCCCACTTACTAGGGGGTGACCTCATCCTTTCATTCAATTGACTGTGTAGGCGGATATACTGGGGTGTGTGGAATCAGCCTGTAAGCCTAGATTTAATTGCTCATTTCTACCACTAGAGGGCTCTTTCACCAGATCAATCAGGGACCCAAGAGATTCAAAGCACTAGCTCTTCTTACCAGGACGGGGCCAGGCCGCCTCTCTGAGGGTGATCCTTTCTGATCCTACTTTTGTGATGGGAAATTGGGAGGCACTGAAGTAGTTTAAAACTGATGTTGATTCTCTTATTAAGGCTTCTTCTTCTTCTTCTTCTTCTTCTTCTTCTTCTTCTTCTCCTCCTTTTTTTCTTTTTTATTGGACTCGTTAGCCGAGTAGCTGGCATGGACTACCGGCTTTTTTTCCTGTGTATCCTTTTATATATTAGAGTCACTCTCAACACAGGAGGAGTCAGTGCCCCCGGAGGTGGTTGTGTCATTTGGGAAGGAGCGCTGACACTTGTTTCGATTCAATAAATGCTACTTGAGTGCCCACCATGTGCAAGGCATAGCACTTGGGAGACCATGAAGATATGGTTCCTATCCCCGGAGGAGCCCACTATAGAGTAGGGGGTCTCTTGCTACTACATTTGGCTGTAAACAGTGGAAACTCACTGGAGTTTGTTTAAGAATTTGGGGGGGGTGTATAAGGATATAGTGGTGTTTCAAGGAACCGTAGGGCAAAGACAATCAGGTCTCAGCAAGGACTTGAAGTAAAAGCCATCAGAAGTCTAAGCAATCACTTCATTTTTCATTTCTGACTCTTATTTTTTTGTTGAGAAAAGCTGTTTTGCCTGAGTGCCTGGGTGGCTCCATTGGTTGAGCATCTGACTCTTGATTTTGGCTCAGGTCATGATCTCAGGGTTGTGAGATTGAGCCCCGCCTGGGTCAGACTGCCTGAGACCCTCTCCCTCTGCCTGTCCCCCTGCTCTCTCTCTCTCTGGAATCAATAAATAAATTTACAAGAAAAGAGAAAATCGTTTTACCTTCTCTACTCTTCAATCTTCGAGATAAAACCTATATTTTGAGTGTTTACATCATCTCTCTTGACGTGAGAAGTTTTAGTCCCAATACTAAATTTCCGGGACAGCAAATGATTTGTCTAGCTTGTGTCACATGCCCTTTCTTGGCCCAAACAGCTGTGGTCAAGAGACAGGGTCGTGTGGTACAAACGTGGCTACCAGGACCAGCAGATATAAGCCGAGGAAGGGAGGAAAAGAAAGTTCCCCAAGTAGGAGAAATTTCTGTGCCATCTTAAAAGACTACTAAAAAAGTCTGCACAATTCACATTCGGAGCCCCTGCACGATGCCCAGGGTCTCCGCAGTAAAACAGGATCAAGAATGAGAAAACAACATGGCAGGTTTTGGGGGACTCTGAAGATACTGGAGTCCTCTGACAGGAGTGGAATGGGGCTAAGCATCAGTGGTACCAAACCAGCTTCACCTTTTGTCTGTGCCCTTATTCCAAGGGACGAAGGTGAAAAGAGAAGAACTTTTCTAAACTTGCCTGATGGTGGACCGGGGAGTGGGGTTGGGGGGGCGACGGCAGGGATGCAGCACCCTGATATTACAAACAGAAAAGCCAAGATATACTGCCTGGAGTTGATGGAAGGAGAACCAGAGGCTGGATAGAGCATGTTATTGGCAATGACAAAACTAACCAACAGAGGAACTGAAAATATCCTATGACTGTATTTGAGGTAAAGCAAGTTGAGCTAAGACAGAAACGCCGAACTGTGGTACCTTTTTTTTTTTTTTTAAAGATTTTATTTATTTATTTGACAGAGATCATGAGTAGGCAAAGAGGCAGGCAGAGAGAGAGAGGAGGGAGCAGGCTCCCCACCAAGCAGAGAGCCCAA